TGCTACTTTCTTTTTGGCTTTCGGCAATATGCATCAATACCAAGCACTTTCATTCAACCAATTCCATTCCTTATGCATTGTGCAGACCACTTAGTAGAAGGATGGGTTTATTGCAGTTCTGTCCCATTTCACTTCCTCGGCCTTTCAGTTAAGCTTTGCCAGCTGAGTGTTTCTGGAGCATAGAGGTGATTAGTCTACAGTCTGTCACCTCCTCAGGTAAGTATCCTTCTGTGTCCCGAAGAGTAGGGTCAGCTCCAGATTGCAGCAACAGTTCCACGATATCAGAAAATTCACAGGTAGAGGCTAGAGGGGAAATCAGAACAGAACAGATGCGAGTCAGAACCAAGGGTTTGCCTCTGCTGAATGATGCATGTCAGAACTACAGAAGCAACAATCTGACAACCAAACAGAACAAGGAAGCTGGTAGAAGAAAGATAAATTCTCAAGATTGGCATTCCATGTTCTGTCACCTTGCTAAGATGCATTCAAATTGCTGGTTATCCCCTACAAAGCCAAAAGCAGGATAGCATTGCATTACATCAGGGATTGCCTTGCCAAGGTTAAATCTGCCCATATGTTAAGGACATTGTCAGAAGACCTGCTGAGGTCTAGGAGACAAACCTTTTCTATTGTGGCCCCCTATTTTCAAACACCTTGACTCCAGAGGACCGTGTGGTCCCCTTGCTCTTGCCATTTTATTTCTTTAAACAATTGATATAGCTGCCCATCTCAAAGCAGTGACTCCTAGCAGTGCACAAAAGATTAAAACTGAAAAATCAGCAATATAATGTACAAAATAAACACCGAATACTAATCCAAACATTACTAGTAGTAGGAAAGAGAGGAGGAGGAAGAATAGGCCCAGGTCTAAAAACATTCCATTTTCAATCAGTGAAGATGAAAACAAACAAATCCACCAGCAGGGCTGGCTTAACCACCTGGCCTAAATGCCCGAAGGAACATTCAGGTCTTTAATGCCTTAAGAAAGGCCAAAAGAGTCAAGACTGTCTGGATTTCGGGGGGGGGGGGGAGATGCTGTTCCATACAGCAGGGGCTAGAGGAGGACACGAAACAGTCCACTCCCATGTGCTTTTAGGTAATGTTTATGGCAGGGTTATTATTAATTGTATGATTTTTCTCTATTTGTGTATGGCTCCCAGTTTGTGGATTGAGGCAGGCTATAAAAACTGCTCTTGCTGTCTCTCTCAATAAATAAACATGTTGCCTACCTATAACTTTGGTGTTTGAAAATATCATCTGTGTGTTCATATATATGAATCTTGCACTTGAACAGATTGGCCTGTTCTACAGCTGAAATATTTTGGTGGAAAGCCTGTTCCCTATTTTACTGTGCTTGCCCTTAAGGAGTGGCTCCTCTCATTTATGTCAGTTCCTGGAACTGACAAATCATCCTGGAAGTCAGGCATACTGCACCTACGTATAGATGTACAAATGCAGAATATAAAAGTAGAAATACACATTTCTGATAATGAAGTGCTGTTAGGTGGCAATGATTGGCCTTCTGGAGACATGATGTATGCATCCTTGAGAATGACTGACACCAAACAAACTCTCTGGTGAAGGAGAGACAGAATGAATAATAAGGTGGTCAAAGAAAAAGAGCATAGAGGGATATAACTATTGAAGACCTAGAGGTTAAAAACAGAATGAAGACATCTCAGATTAAGACCCTAAAACAAAAAAAGAACATCTTCTGGTGACAATACTCAATTGTACTAATGTTCTTCCAAAAAGTAAAAAATGAAATTTAAAAATAAGAGAGGCAATCACTAAAACTGAT